TCAAACAATCCATCCATCTGTCTGTCAGTCCATCCGTCTATCCATCAATCCATCTATCCATCCATCCATTCATCCCTCCATCCATCTATCCATCACCTGTAGTATGCTGCATGTCTTTAGATTGTTGGGGAACCTGGAGGAAACCCACACAGACATGGAGAGAACATGCAAACTCTACACAGAAAGGCCTTGAACCAGAGACCTGCTTGCTGTGAGGCACATCTTTAGACCTTTGCTATGTACAAAAGCACAGATCTGTGATAAAAAGATATTTGACTTTAGAGAAGAACATGTAGCTATAGGTATGTTTGTTACAGGAAAAAGTAACCCTTCTAGTGAGACTTTGAGAGAGAAAATCTAAAATTGTCTTGGTAATATTAATAACACATTTACAATGGCACTAACTCATCAGACATGTGAGTGACTTCACACCATCTGAGTCACAGCGGTCAATGTCATTTGGACTTGTCCTAGCGAAATACAATGATACAGATTATGTACACGAAACAATCACGTTACTACTGTTGGCGAATGATTATTCAGATATAAAATTTATTTTGTCGCAGAAGAGGATGGATACACTAGTGAAGAATAATTGCTGTTCTCAGTTGGAATCAAAAACACAGTGGCTAAAACAACCACTCTTTGCAGAAAATCACTTGACTTTCTCTCTCTCTCTCTCTTTCTCTCGCACTAATGACCCAGTTTCAGTTTCAGAGCAAGAGAAAGAGAGCGATAGAAAGAGCAGTGTGATTGATATGGAGCGAGCGCACTCAGGTCGCTTCATGCTGTGAGACGATTTGAAACTCAAACTCTTTATAAGGCAGAATAAAGAAAAGTCTTCCTCCCACTGCTTTCTCAGAAAAACAAACACTGTAAATATTTGTAAGTCTACATAGAAATTTGTTTGTCCTTGAAGCCATTCTTTGAGTCTTAAATTATTTACAGTGCGTCATTTCAGTTTTTAAAGATCTCTGAGAAGCTCATGCACAGCCTTGAGGGATGAGTGCAGTTCACAAAGAACAAACGCTTTCTCCAGCAAATTCTCCTGCTGTCATAAATATCATTCAGCACCTGAACAGCATCACAGGAAAAGCCACAACAAGGGCCGATTTGTGCAGTTCTGTCACAGTTATGCCTAACCTTTCATGCCTTAGCCAAGGATTCAAACTGCTAAAGAGTCAAAGAGTCAAACATGTAGAATCTCTAATGGCCTCTAACTTACACCCTCGAACGCTGAAGATACTCCAAACTCTTCATCAACATTGGCATTACGGTCAGTCGTGACCATTCAGAGTAGTTAATTGGATAGCCATGCAAGAGAGAGAATCAAAGATTTTAGTGAAATAGTTGATGGAGAAAGTCATAGAAAGACTGGTGTTAAACTATTGGCTGGCAACAGCTATACGTTTCCTCTCATGAACAAATATCTCTCTGTGCAATATGGGCAACTTTTCCTTTTTCTTAATACAAGTTCATATATTTTCATTTTGATTCAGTGTATTGTCCTGGTGTGATGCTGGTTTTAATTTGACTTTTTAAAATTTTTATCTATGTTGCTGATTACAACAAAGTTTTTAATGTTCTGCTCATGAATTTCATTGAATGTAGAGTAAATCATTGCTTAATTGCAGAATGGAAAACTATAATTTGGCAATGTTTTAATGAAATAATTATACAAATTACAGCACGGATGGACAGTATTTCAAATACATGTATTTGAAATACTATTTTGTATTTTCTATTTAAATACCTTTGGAAAAAGTCAGATGTATTTTGTATTTAAATACATTTAATCTTATTTTTTGTAGTTTAAAAATACATAAAATACTTTTTGTCAATCAACCTCTTTATTAGACTGCTGATTTCCTGGATCAACAAATATACAAAAATAATAAGATTAAATGTATTTAAATTCAAAATACATTTGACTTTTTTCCAAAGGTATTTAAATACAAAATACAAAATAGTATTTCAAGTACATGTATTTAAAATACTGCCCATCCCTGCAGGAAATCAGCAGTCTAATAAGGAGATTGATTGGCAAAGTACCTTATGTATTTTGAAATACAAAAATACTAAGATTAAATGTATTTAAATGCAAAAAGGTATTTAAAAACAAAATAGTATTTTGTATTTCAAATACATGTATTTCAAATACTGCCCAATCCCTGTGTCATGTTTATCAAAAATAAAACTGATTAAAATATGGACCACACTTTATTGTTATTTAAATGGTTTATCCTGATCTTCTTACAGGCACTGTAAGCAGCACATAAACTTATTGAATAAACAGTAATTCTGGTTGCTACATGCAAAACATAAACATTTGTTTATCTGAGGAATATTACGTCTAATCCACTTCGTCTGCAACAAATTATGCAGACTGTGCGCAAACGTCACTACGGGAAGCAGAAAGCGTTATTTTCAACTCCTCATCGACTGCAAGCCGATCGGTTAAAGCCAAGAATGGAATCTGAAGCTCCGGAGTCCGGACAGAAACTGTCACAGTCTTCAGCGGGTGTGCACGTGATGGCCACCAGATGACACTGTTCTCTGTGAGCACATGGCTTGTGTTGTGTTTGTTTGGTGCCATGTGCTCTCTCCTGTCTATTGTCTTGCCCCGCCCATCTTGTTACCTCATTATTGTTTAAGTTGCTCCACCTGTGTCTCCCTCGCTAGCCTCCTCATTTGGTTTCCTATTTATTCTCCTGGTGTCTGTAATCCTGTGCTGATCCGTCATTTTTCATTGTGTGTGTGTTATGTCTGCATGTAGTGCAGTTCCTGCCTGTCTGGTTGTTTTAGTTTGTTTAGGTTTCATTTTATTATTGAAAGAAAGAACCCTTCATCCTGCACTTGAGGACTAGCTTCATCTCTCCACGTGCACCGTGACAGAAACGGCAACGCTGAACTACAAACGTAAAGAGGCGCGTGGGCCACAGCGCGGCATATCTCCATAAGCAGGGTTAAAACGAGAAATAACTCAGGCTGTGTTCGAAATGCCATACTACCATACTACTCTTACTATTTCTGCAGTATCCAGTATGTATGCTGTGCATAGTATGCAAATTTTCTGTATACATGTAATACCCGGATGACCTACTATATTCGCCAGAATCTGCTAAATATAACTCAAGTACACTGAAATCAGTACAGAAGCTGTTCAGAATGGCATACTACCATACTATATTGCAGTATACTGTGAATAGTATGTGAATTTTCTGGATGCATGGAATGCCCAGATTACTTGCTACATTGGCTGAAATGTTATGTATGCATCTGAAGATGCTGCATGGGATACTGTTTCCCAGAACGCAATGTGCTCCATGTGACGTTTCATCTTCAAACGCACGAGTGAACTGGAGGTGGGGAATAGTAATTATAAATGTAACGCTTGTATTTGTACGTATATACATACACATGTAAACTACAAACTATCGCTGTGTATCTAAAAACAGTATTGTTAGTAGGACATAAATTGTACTTTAATCTCTACAACACGTTTCTGATCATCAAATGACGTCACCGTTATCTTTATAGCGCTTTATACAGTACAGATTCTTTCAAAGATATTAAATAATACTGCAGCAATGTAATGTATAAATAAAAATATTTCAATTATGCAAACAGAATTAAATTCCACTGTCAAGCAGCTCTAAAAAGAAATGGAGTGTATTACTCGAAGGACAAATAGACCAATTTGTTGGCAGAGGCTATTTACATTAACTCCGCCCACCCATGCCTGGCTGTGATTAACAGCACTGCAAAATACACTTGTGTTTCTGAAGTATCAGTGGCGCAGCGAGTAAAACATGAGCTGCTTGCTTTTGACGCAGTTGACCCGAGTTCGATCCCGGCTTTTGTCAAACTCATGCTTCTCCTTTTCCCATCACATACCAGATCAGAAATAAATGTATTTTCAATAAAAATTAAGTAAATATTTGAAAAGTGGAAATAAAACGCCTCAATAATACAGTGTTGTGTGTGCTTTAGGAAGGTTTTTGTCCCAATAAAGTGGCTTTTATCTAATACAATTTATATATATATATATATGATAATTTACACTCAATATGTTATTGCATACTGTTTTATAATGTACTACAGTATTGAGGTATAAATATCTGCCACCTAACTACTATTTACACTCCTGTTGCTAAAGAAAATGCTGCTATTTTAGTGTAAACAGAATTGATCATTATTTGCACTTAGTGTAACTAGAATATATCGCTTTTTAATATATCGCCACTTAGTGTAACTACCAAAAATATCAGTAAAGACAGCTCAGTGTTGATTTAATTCTGTCCAATATGTAAAGTTAATCATTATGAAATGAGTTCAATTGGGCAATATAGCATTGTTTACTAGTATGAAGCCTTATTAACAAGCCTTTGTAAAAAGAACAGTTAGCTCGTTTGTTTCTAAGGTAACGACCTCGACAGCTGTGCTGAATTAATGTTCAGTGTGTCATGTGACAGCACATTAAGCATACTACTCTGAAACATTTATTGCTTATTGTATACTGTTTCACACACTATTCTTTAAAAAAAAATAGTAGGCAGTATGCACTGTGTACTGCGCAGTAAGCAAGTATGCCATTTCGAACACAGCCTCAGTTTATTGTTACTCTTGACAAGTACGAATTTATTTAATTAAACGCGGTGTTCCGATGTGAAACTTGAAATAACACTTTGTGCATTTTCACTCAAGTTTACTCTAATGTTATTGCCTTGACAAACTCATCAGTAAGTAGTGTATTTAGCTACAGTATGGCAATAAAAAAATTGTTAATGTTTCTTATATTATTCGACAGTATTTGTTAGTTATTAATGTTAAAGTAATTACGTGCATTTGCAAATAAGGTGTTAATAGACTGCTGCTCTTTTAGATAAAAGCAGCCTCACGTATGCACGATGTTCTTCTAGCTTTAGGAATGCAGTTTCCCTTCAATGTTTTAACAGACTGGGTCGCATGTAATAGTGGGTCGTGAGAGAGATGTGCTCGTGAGAATGAGAGAGGACAGCAGACCTGTACGTGTCTTTCATCATTAATGAGCTTCATTCGTGTTTTCGTTAGATGGCAGCAAAGCAGCAGAGAAACATCAGCAGCTCTGCAGCATCCGCATCCGAACACTTAAGCGCGAGCTGCTGCTGTCATTACCGAGCCGAGCCGAGCCAGAACACACACATATACACACACACACTCACGCGCGGGGCGGCCAGAGCTGCATTCATCGGAACCAGACGACATGAGCTGCTTTTGGATACACTCGATCCTCATCCCGGGATTCTTCGTACTCTTCGGATTTGAAGGTAAGAATCTGATGGTCTTTATTTCTGCATGCGCTCGTGAGGCGTGTGTTCACGGCGGTGTAACCAGAGGACGTGCCACAGATAACTTCAGTCCGCCTCACTGTGATGTTTCAGAGCAGATCGCTCTCGATTTCTGAATACTGATCGCCTGATGTTCAGATCACATTTCCCCGAACGCGTCTTAGATTATTGGGTTTGTTTCTACTTTCCTCCGTCTCCGGATTGCCCGCCGTGCTGGAGTTTGTTCAGTGAGTGGGATTCAGACGCGAATTAGCTGATTATTTCGTGGATGGACACGAACCTACGATGATCTGAATGTAGCAGCGCATTCTAGTGTGGAGATGATGATGATGATGATGATGAGCGAACGGGATTTTCTCTGATTGTTGTCGGAGGCCAGTGCTTCACAGACTGATGCAGAGCTACACCTGCATGTGTCCTTGCAGGACCTTTGACCTCCAGTACACTGAAGCTTTCAAACAGGTCCTGCTGTCAGTATGTGGTTCAGAGCAGCTTTCATTGGCTCAGCTGGAGGAGTGATGTTGAGATGGTGTCTGCACACAAGGAAAAGGTGTAGTTTGTAGCTTATGTGTATTATGGAGCCAGAGCAATAACTTCTTTCCATCTAATGTTATTGATGAGGCTGCTTATGTCCATTAGTGCTATTGATTTGCTCTCAGGATAAAGAAAGCGCTCATTAGGATGCACAGTAACTCTGGAACCCACAGACACTCATTTATCTCTCATTTAAATTACAGCAAGGCTTTACAATGCCATTACGATAATTTTTTTCTTCCAGACATGAAGTTACCATTACGGACATGAACACAAGCAGTAAAAGCAGCTGAAGCTAACTGTTTCTTTTTATTATAAAGAATGAAGTGATCACTAGTTAGATCTGCGTACAGGTGTAGAATGGTGCATGTCACATTTTCCCATTCTGCTTCTGCTCCTGTTCTTCCGGTTATCCATACGATTACATATCGATGTAACTTAAGTGCTCGCCTAGAATGCTTCTCAATTCATGAGGTAGCTGTTGTGATGTGGGAACAGTGACAAATTAAACCAAAGCTTTGTCTGTCTCTGTCTGTGTGCGAGGATGAGCTGCAAATAGGGGTCTCTGTTAGATCAGGTCACTATGGGGCTTCACCAGAAGTCCTTCACTCATTTACACAAACTGTAGAAATCTCCAGGATATAAGCCTACATTCTTGCAGGTCATCCTTTAGCATGTTCATGAGTTAGCAGGACTTATCAGTTATTTGGAATTATTGAGGTTTGTGATCTCATTGGGTACATGGTAGAAAATCATACACAGGTTCCATACCTATATGTTAATTCTGTATCACTCAGGTTGTTTAAACAGAGTTCCAAAATGCATTTAACTGTAATAATTGTACTGTGTGTTGGAATGTACTTGGAGACGTATTTGTTCCCTTTAATTATTAAAGGACACCATGTGAAACACGTACTCATCAAAACCATATTCTGACAGATTCTTCTCATTCAGTACTCGACAGTACATTATTACATCACTGGCAATCCTTCTCCGAAGAAAATGAAAACAAGAAAAGGTTTCATGTTTTAATGGTGATATGACAGTAACCTACTAATCTCCACGTTTCTCCATTTTGAGTAGGCTATTGTTTTGTAGAGCTCTTATCAAAAATCATGGCAAATGATTTGCAGTATTTACGCTAACATTCCCTCATGGCTTGATTTGGTCCTGTGACTCCATTTGCATGCTGTTTGGAGATATAGAGCTGTAGTCATTATACATTCTGGTCAGGCAGCGTTTGTGTTTGATGGGTGCTGAAGAGAACAGGGAAGGAAATGAATTCTGCTCTGGGAGCGACTGATTCCATTTGGCCCTACGTTTATTGACATCTGCAAGGTGCTTCAGCGACCACAGAGGTTAGAAAGCCCACTCAAACCAGGATCACTAGTTATATGCAGTCAGAGGCGATGTTGTGGTCAATCCCTGCGAATGCTACTGTTTTCTGGGAGCGTCCTGATTCCATTTGGCCCTACGTTTATTGACATCTGCAAGGTGCTTCAGCGACCACAGAGGTTAGAAAGCCCACTCAAACCAGGATCACTAGTTATATGCAGTCAGAGGCGATGTTGTGGTCAATCCCTGCGAATGCTACTGTTTTACTAGTATTCATTGGTAATGTCAACACCAAACTGCATGCATCTGTTGGGTTTATTTGAGGATAAGAAACACACCTAACATTCAAATCCAAATGTTTATTTTAAATTCGACTAATATTCATTCTTTATTCACAATCTCCTTATCACAGGCAGGGACAGTACTCAATGCAGCATGTGTTCGTGTTTGTGTGTGCTGTCTGCGTCACTCAGAGCATGTTCCTATATCAAACATTTTTCTACTGATATCGAAGAAGGTGTACGATATCAGTAGAAAAATGTTTGATAAATATCGATACCGTTTCATCGCCCAGGTCTATGTGAAAACATGTGTGCTAATAAATGCAGTGTGTATGTAAAATGTTTACATTCTGAGGCAGATTGCCGGCAACAGCTATTTTAGGATAGTTTGTGGCTAGGTCTCAGAGACTTAGGACTCCTCTTCACTGCTCCTAACCTTTCACAGATTTAGGAGCTAGTTTTAGTGCTGAAACACTTTGTGAAACACTCTTAGAGCAAAAATGTAGGAGTCCTAAATTTAGGACTGACACACCCATTATTTTTACGATTTTCTCCTAAATCGGCGAGTTATGAGCTACTTTTACCCTTAAGATGTTTTGTGAATACGGGCCCAGGTTCTTCTAAATGATTCTGAGATAGTGAAGAAACTAGAAAACCCAGCAGTAGCCTAACCCTCTCATGCAGTAGTACTCCTCTTCTAAATAGTATGCTGTGACTGAGTGTTTTTACCATCAGGTAATCGTGATTCATTTTCTGATGAATTGGGTTTCCTGTAGTGTCAGTTTTCTTCAGATATAAACTGTGTTGATTTTCTGTCCTTCTCTTGAATCAGGATCTGTTCAGACACTGAATGCTGAATCAGACGCCGTGGTCGTGCCGCTTCGTTTCTGCTGTGTTTAATTAGAGGCAGGAGCTCAGCTGACAGCGGCGGCTAAAAGCTCGTGCTGATTTCTGTCAGGAAAGGCACAGTCGATTGACGTTGTTGTGCTGATTTGCAGAAGACTGACATGTAGTCATGACTTTCTGTTTGCTGTCTGGGTTCCCACTGTTTGTTTCTCCAGCATGTCACAGACTGACATTTATGAATTTTTAGGTTAGCATTAATTCATGCAGTCCATATCATGTACTTTTGTCTATAGTATGAGGCTCTGGTGTGAGGCTGATCTATGGATGGACCTGGTGATGCACACCTTACACATTATGTGTTGACAGGCACATTTATCAGCTCTCTAATTAAAATAGATGAATGAGATTAGATCAAAGATTAAATAGATTATGTTAGTTGCCAGAAGGAGAGATCACTTGATCTTTTTTAACACAAAAGTGATTATAATAAATGGTAGCTCAATTTCTAACTCTGAATGAGATACGGTGCTCCCCTTTCCTGTCGATTCCCTAATTTTTCATTTTTAAAAGTATTTTTCGTTCCTCGTTCTGTGCAGTACATCTCTTTAAACAGCATTTTAATGGTAAGCTTCTGATTTCATACATTATTTAGCTGTTTCCAAATATATGGAGTGGAAGGGAATGTCTATATAGTGAACATGGCATTTGACTTGCTCTTCCCTAATAATAAAGATTCTAATAAGCACCATTACAATATCAGCAATCATGTAAAGTTGAATAAAAGTTTGATGTAAAGGCACATCTCTCTCAACAAGAGAAACAGACACACAACAGGCGACAAGTGCAGCTGACAGGAGGCTCTCCGGAACATCTTTGAGATTACTGACGATCATGTGTTCATCAGATATCAGGTGAATATTATTAACAGGATACTTGAGTATAGTGTTCAGAAGAGCAGATTTCGTGACTCGTCTGTGAGCGTGTCCGTGAATGGTTTCAGCTGGGAAAGGCTCTCTGTAGGTTCGTCTAACTTGAGCATGAACTCGGTCTTGTTAAGGCGTCTCGGGATCGCTGGCCCAGGACAGCAGCATGTCACACACAGACACGAGGAACAGAAAGCTCCTGATGTTATATCACACCGCGTCAGAGGAAGAGCAGACGCAGTTGCCATGGCAACCTGTTCAAATACACAGCGGCAAGGAGCGAGCGCCAGATCAGCCGAATGTAAACGCAAACATTTGGGGGTCAAATGATGTGGTCTTCACACCTACATCGCAAGTCTTGAAAAACAAACTAAATGCTTTACTGTTTATTAAGGATTCCTTTTATATCAGGAGTATTAACTGAAGGTCTGAAACCGTATGAAAGTCTGGCCTCATCTGTTTAAACAGTCTGCAAGAAAGTGTGACTTTGCTTCTTTTCATTATCTATTGTAAGTTGCATTAAGTGAAGAGTATGCATTGTTTTATTTCTACATATGATTATTCAATTTCTGTTTTATTTCTTACTTACTGTAGCTGAAAAAGCTCTGTTTAACTCATTTGTATCTTTTTCGTAAATTGTTAGCATCTTGGCTGGTGCAGTGATCCCTGAGCGTCTGAGCTGTAAACGTCTCGTGAGCAGCATGCGCTGTTATTGACGTGACATGAACCTGACGGTGAAGTAGAAGGTGGACTGTCTCTCTGACGAGAGATCAGCAGCGTTCGATGCTAAGCGTCCATCTGCTGTGACAGGAGAGATCATATGGTTGAGTTTCCAGATGGTCTTCACACCTGAGCATGAATATTCTGCGTGACGGTCCTGTGTAAGTGTGAGACTTCTCTGACTGTGAACTTCAGTTATTCCAGCTGTGGTCTTCTGGAAACACGTGGACTGACTGAAATGAATCCGTCAATCAGCTTTAGAAGCAGCTTATCCACCTTTTTCTTCAACGCGGAAGTAAGCCTATGGGTGAGACTTCCGGTTCATTAGCCGCTATAGGTA